AACACTGTAACACTTGATTTTTTAATTTTTTTTTTTAAATGATTAGTAGAAAAAGAAGATCTAGGCATTTTTTGTTGGTTTTTGGGGTTTTTTTGCTTATTTGTTTTAATGCAAAGGTATTTTTACTTACTTGCTGTATTTGCAGAAGTATTTTTCCTTTTACTCACTTGCGAGGTTTACAGAAGTATTTTTCCAAGGCTCAGGATTTAACAGTGCCAGTCATGTTTTGTACCTTTTACACACCTTCTTTTTCTTAGCAAACACATGTCTCTTACATGCTGAGTTTTATTTTACTGCTGCTTCTCTTGCTGGTAAATGATATTTTCAAATCAGTGTGCAGCTTAGCTCCTGTCTGAATAGTGAAACTAAAGTGAACAACCATTAATAGAGAAGTGGAACCAATTAACAAATCCAGTATGTAATAGAGAAAAGGGAGAGGGAAGAAAAGTTGTCTGTATTTTTGCTGAAATAATCTTAGGAATTTATTATAAAGCATAATAGGTATAAAGTATTCAAGTTGAAATCTCCTTTTCTGGGCAGGGGTGAGTACCTCTTAAAGCTGATTTGGGAGGCATAGATTGTAACCCTCTTGGAAAAACTGGTGGTGAAAAAACGTGTTTTTTAAAGCATGGCATTGTGCACAAAGGGTAGAGAGAATTATTGCTTGCTTGGAACAAAAGGGGAAAAGACCCTATTCCAGCATTAGGTTTTAGAATTGGCAGTTAAAGCCCGCACTCATTTTTTCCTTGTAATCTGAACAAGTAAGTGTCAGACACAATAATCATGGAAAAAAATTCCTCCTCTGTAGCATTTTTACAATACTTTTCATTGTGTCTACACATTCCGCCAAAGTGAATTGGGAAGCCATGTGTTAGCTGGGACAGTTACTGGCTGTCCCCTCTGCAGGAGTCACGTTGCTTAGCTCCTGAAGACAGAAAGGTGAAGGTGACTGCCATATACTGCGTAAAAGCTGCAGCTTTCCTCATAAGTAATGCTACACACAAGTTACTGAAGGCCACGTTATCGGTGGAGAGGGACAGTCTGGCTGATTGCTGCCCTAGAACAAGATTGGATGCAGAATTTAAGGAAAAAAGCTCTGTAGAGGCTAGGTAATTTTTTGTCTTCTTGTGTTAACTAGTGCTCAACAGTCTGAGGACCATGATCAGGGAGTAAAAGCTGCTAGTTATATTTTGGCTTTCTCTTTTAAGAAAGCAGATGGTACACCCTCCAAAAACAGCACAAATGTGTACCAGCAGTGAAGTTGATGTAAATATGAATTCTTGGCTGTACTTTGTTCAAGTGCTGCCTGTTTGAAAACCTGTTTAACATCCCCTCTCAAACACCAGTGTGCGTTATTGTTATTCCATCTCTGAGATAAATACTCCGATCATGATGAAGTTATTTTCATAATAAGGAATTAGGATATGATTATTACATGTATGATACTTGTCTTGTCTTGATCCCTCTTGTTGCTGAGAGCTTAAGGTTGCCACACCTGTGATCACTGTAAATAGCTGCAGTCGTTGGAGCACGGCTGTATTTTGTGGAGGAGGCTGGAAAAGTGCAGTTTAACCTGCTGCACTCACTTTTTATTATATGCATATGCCTGTGAAGTTCCCAGCACAAAATTTGGCCCTTGTTGAAAATACCTTTTGGCATACATCAGTTATAACTAAGCCAGTAGAAACTTGCCCTTAGCTTTGGCTGAACAGTAACTCAGTCTTGTCTGGACTCTGGTTTTGGTGAAGTGGCAGGAAAAATCTCAGTTCCTTTTTTAAGCCAACTCATAAAAAAATGTTTCTTGCTTTAGCATATGATTTTTAAAAGAAACTGAGAAGTTTATACTAAATCAGTTATAGTTTTAGAGTAGGCTTATAACTAAATAATAAATATTTGGTGAATGAAAGCATGCCCATAAATGTTACCGCTACAAAGGACTGTGTACTTGGGAACTACAGTAGTGATGTAGCCAGAAAGTGTCTCGGGCATTAATAAACCTTTTTCAAGTTTCTCTTTATTCCAAAAAAATTGACTTTTTGAGCCAATGGTACCAAGCTTGTCGGTTGCCAATCCATGACTTCATGTTGCAAAAATGGAGCACTTGAGACTGGTGAGTTATCAGCAAAGAGATTTGCATCCAGCAATGCTGTATATCTCATTTGTTAAAGCATTTCGTCTGCCATAATCACATTGAAAACCCAAACTGGATTTTAAGATCTTTTCTTCTGCCTTAGCAGTTTAGAAAGACAAGCCCCCCAATATTTTACCAGACAGGCTGTATTAATAAACTATATCAAGCTTCAATAGATTCAATAAGCTAACCATACAGAAAAAAAAATTGGGACAATTATTTTTCATTCAGTTTTCCGATGCATCTGGAAATATGGTACAGTTGTTCCAGCCATACACACTTACTATTATTTTTTAGTAAGTGTGTATTACAATAAGGCATTAATGTTTTGTTACATGATCAATGGCATTTAATTTTGGGAAATGTGTATTATGCAGATAGGATAATAGGTTTTAAGAAAGGAGTCTCAGACATTGGTGCAGGAAATTAATTAGGCCAAACTCATTATTTGGTTTACTTTGGTTTACTGATTATGATGACCAGGAATTTTTTACTTATTCCTTATCTGTATAGCAAGAAACACAGAGGTCTAATTTCTTTTCCTGTCAACTATTTATTCTTATCAGAACAGCCCTCTCTCTTACGCTGTATGTTAACTTGATTGGTAACTTCAGAGTTCATGTCATCTCCTCCCTATTTTGCTCCATGGAAGTCTTTAGCCACTATTATGCTGCAGATCAGCAATTCATATCTTTCCCTGTCCTTTGACACTTTTACTGAATCCATCACCTTACTCTCTTTTTCTTGTAAAGCCTTTCATCTCTGCTGTCTTTGGTATCCAGCTGAAGATGGGAGTGATGTTTCTGTGCCAAGAACAATTACATTCCTTTCATTTTTACTCCTTCAACAACTTTTCATCCTGTGTCTTTGTACTTTACCAATACTGTCTAGAAAGGGATCTGTGGCAAGCTCTACAACCCTGGACATGTCAGTACCTACCTGGAATCTTCATCCTCCTTCTCATCTCCTGCGGTTTACAGTAACTTACTCTGTGGCCTCCTCGTTTGCTCTTTTAGACTGCAGAACATAAAGTACTGTTGCCATCTTCTTATAAATGCAAAGAAGTTTTATTGTGTCAGTGCCGAATGAGCTTGCTCTCATTTCACATCCAAGTCAAACTTGCTTTGTTTTTGTTTATAACAAGCAAACAAAAACCTTTTGGATTTTGTCTTGTTCTTTTCTCTCTCCTTAGTGACTCCTCATTTGTTTATCCCTGCCCACCTCTCCCACCCTTTAATCAGTTTTCCCTCTGTTCCAGGACCTTGCTGGGCTGCTTTTCAGCTGATTTTTATCATATCTGTAAGAGTTTCTCTCCCTTTTCTATGCATTTCTTTTCTCACATTGCCTGCATGGCAAAAATTGTCAACAGCAGTTTGTATGAAATAGGAATACAGGTCTGACCTTTGAAATTAACGAAATTGCCACTAACCTGTATGTTATCAGTATAATGCTGCAATTGTGCTGCGCTAGGCTTTTCTATCTTGTTAATACTGATAATTGTATATAAGTTGTTGATACTAATAGTTTGCAAGCTGTGATTAGTTCCTTACATCATCAGTTATTCAAAGTGACCTATTGAGGACTAGCTGTTCATGTGATATGGGATCTCATCTTTCAATCCATAGCTAAAATCAGTTAAATAAAGATTAAAAAGGTATTTTAGTTCGTGTTTCCCTAATACAGCTTTTCACTGTGAGAAGTTGCTCTCATTACTCTAAAAAGAGAGATGGTTTACTTTATTGCAGGTTGGAAGGAAATTATCTGAGAGACAGTACACGTAGCCAAAGCTTTGGATGAAAAAAAAGTTTCTTCAAACTGTTTCGATATGATGATACACACATTATCATGATGGACTGATTAACAGATGTAGCCTTTCCAGTATGCAGTAATTAATTTTATTTTGTTTCCAGTGTATTTTATAATATGCCATGTTGAGTATGCCACAAAGCAGTGTTGTTAAGCAGCACTACTACTGTGTTGTGCACTGAAGAGTCATATTATGTGACTTCCGCATAACTCTTGGCAGGCAACTTCTGTCTCGTGTAGAGGCACACTAGTCTGCAAGAGACTTGTGCTGAACGTGCTGAAAAGATACGCTAATGCTGACATTCAGGTTGAGCTGATTGAGTCCCTTGAAATGGCTATCTCTTCTTCTCAATTCTGACTGCCAAAGTTTCAGAGCGAAGAGTAGTATCTTAAGCGATGACCTATAAAACAAAGATATGAACAGGATATAAAGGATTTTGCCAATAGACCTGTTAGTAGGCACAATTTTTGCAGTTGTTAGTACAGAATGATGTGTCTTCAATCTGTGACGCAGGCAATGTTGGATAAATTTGTATTTGCTTCTAAAAAAAAAAAAAAAATCTGCCTATTCTGGGAAACTATTTATTCCAGAAAATGCAGAGGGGGAATATTTATAGAAGGTGAGAAAATATTTTGGGTTCCACGTGGAGTGAATAATGAATAATTCAGTCAAACGTAAATGACTTAAAAGGAAAATGTCTCTGAAGTGATAAGCTACCTGGTAAATTTTTTCTGTTAGTCAGTAAATCAGCTAGGTACATACCAGAGATTAACTTTCACTTCAAAATTATTCTAAATGAGGATCTTAAAAATGTGGCCTTCAGAATGGAGTTTATTCAATCTGTACATGTAGTTCTAGACTGTAGATAAAAAAAAAACACTGCAAGTATTCCCTCACTGGGCTGCCTTTGTTCTGTTTTACTTCTGTTTGGATACGTTGTCATCACTCTTAATCTGGTGAAGTAATTTTTTAAATGTTGGTTTAAAATTAGGTATTTTACAATTCCCACATATCATCATAAATCATGAATGTTTGGGTTTATATTTCATTGCAGAGGAAAACAGATGTGCCACTTCAAATGCAGTAACGTGCACAAAGTGTCTTGCTTTGGGTCCAGAGTGTGGATGGTGTGCTCAAGAGGTATGGCATTTTGCTTATTTACATTTGACTTTCTATTTTAGTTGCTTCTGATCTTTATAAAGATAAAAGACTTTTAAACTGTGAAAATTACAGTGAGAAATAGGAAGAAAATCTTTAAATGACCCCTGGAGACAGAACTTGAGAAATCATGTGAAATATATTTTGTTTCCAAAGGAGAAAATACAATCTTTTATTTGGAAAATTGCAGTAATTTTAAATTAAGTGAGAACTTCTTAATGCATTCCATCTGCTTTGTAGACAGCTTTGGCAGACTTATAGTAGCTTTGAGAGTTCAACAGTTTTTGGCTTCAAAAGCAAAATTACTTATCAGTAATTTATATTAAGTCCTCATTATATGTCAGAGCAAGTCTATACATGTATGCCTATTGCATTTAGCAAAAGATTTTACTAACAGTGGAGTTAACTTTAACTTCACCATATATTATGACCCTGTCACCAGTGGAAAAAATGATACTTTTCATATTTTGACACTTGAAACTATAAGTTCTGAGACTTATCACATAAGACAGATCTTAGGTAGCAAGAATTATTCTGAAAATGTTATTGCTTTGGAAACTGTAAGCATATGGGAATTTCTGGTTTTGTTTGACAGAAAAGAACAGTTAATTACATGATTTCGAATAAGGCTGGACTATTTTAAGCATTTCAAAGGAGCAAGGTTTTGAAGAATATCACTGACAATTACAAGCTCATATGCTCTTGAAGGTCACATGCAAATTATCTGTAGTAGTTTTCAGGTTAGCCGAGAAGGTAGGTAAGTTCCTAGGGTGTGCCTGGAGGAGATAAGGAGTGTAAGGCACTGGTGTAACTTCATCTGAGATATTGTGTCTTGGAATGATTAACTTAGTCTGTGACAAGTATAAGTAATCCCAGGATGAATAGAGGCATGGAGGGCTTGTTTTCCAAGAGGAACCTTAGGGCGTGTGTAGATGGCATAGTAGATTACAATGTGCAGTGGTCCATTATTGTGGCCTGATGTCTTGTCTTACAAAGGGCACAGTTTTATCCTGCTACCTCTGTATTTATCACTGAATAGCACTTGCTAGCTTTCCAGTGTTATGGAGCTGCAGTAGGTCTCCTTCAAACTAGGTGCTTAGATTTGATCAGTTTTCACCTCTGCTCTGCTTCTCTTGCTTCACTTCTCATGTCAATCCTGAGACCTGTTCATGGAAGCCAGGAGTTTGTCAAGCTCTTTGAGATCATGCTTTGATAGCCAGTTCACCTATGCACTGTCCATAGTTGTGGAATGTCAAAACCCATATTAATGCAGATAGAAATTTTCCAGAGTAATGTTACAGGAGCAGTTTTCAGCTTAGCATGCCTGCTTCATCTAAACAATGTTTTTAATGAGAAAATCAGCCCTGAGGAACACTTGAGATGCTTTGACTTTGTATCCACACACAGTGAACTTCAGAAAATGCTACATGTCTGTCAGTTGTTAGTGGTAACAAACAAAAGAGAGTAACTAAGTTCTTTATACATTTAAAAATATTTTTGAAATGTATATACATCAAGAAGGGTATATAAATAGCAGTAACCTAAGAATTAATCTCTGTTGTCTACATTAAAGAAAGTTGTGGCAAAAAAATATCAGAGGTAGACTACAAAAATGAGTTGGAACTTGGAAAACAAGATACATGACTGTCGAGTCTCATTCTTCAGGGGCTTTCTCTGGTCTTTTCAGAGTCTGGATGACTATTCTCTAAAACACAGTTGGCTGTATGCACTTTTTGATTGTTTATTTTCCCCATTTGCCTCTGAAATATCAGAGATTGTCCATTGTTTGGTCTCCAGCTGTGACTGGGATGGACCAACGCTTTGAAAGAGTACAAAGGATCTTGTCTTTTTTTTCGTTGCATGATCAGAATCATGTTCATCATCAGATTTGTGGTCAGGAAGGAATTTTGCATTGGGTCATGTTGGCACAATTTTGGCAACTTTGCCCTTTCACTGCAACAAAGGATACGCTGCTTCTGAGATCATCCTACTACTATTCACTTTTCTGTTGCTACAGGGGCTATTTTATGTTGGTGCCATCTTAAACTGTCCAGTCCTGTAGTACATAGCATCCTCTTTCTGGGGATTGAAATGATATAGTCCAGGTGGTCTTTGGATTTGGTGTAAAGTATGGGGTAAAACTTACACATCAGTGATAGACAAATTCAAGTTAGCTACATCTAAAGCTGACTTCTGCTGCTACTTCTAAATATTAGCCCAAGTAACATTACCAGTGGATTCCTCTGAAAACTAGCCTGTTTTGATATCCTGTGAATGACACTTTCTTGATATAAGTAACTCGTAGTACAGCACAGAACTTTTTATAGTGACACAGTGACAGTACGTAGTTTCCTTTTTCTCCGAAGTCAGCTTGTTCTGATTGTGCAAGATCCTCTTTCTCATACAAAAGTTTTGTCCTTTGTAGAAAAAAGTCATTGTGGCAATTACGTTTAACTTCTAATTTAAATATTTTGTCATTGTCCTTATTAAAAACATATGGCTTCAATGAACTCATTCTACAATTTATGCAATTATAGTAGCATATTTTATTGTTTCAAAGACTATTATTTTGTTTTTCTCTTTCCTTTGAAGATATTACAGTTGTTTTTTTCAGCTCAGATTGTTTTGTACTTTTTGTCTCTTATAAAACAGGATTTCATGGCCGGCGCAACACAGAAGGGACGCTGTGACACTGTTTTCAACTTAATGAAAAGAGGCTGCCAATCAGATTTTGTAGAAAATCCCACAGTTCATGTCACAATACCCAGTGACCATGAAACAAATACACAAGTGACACCAGGAAAAGTTTCAGTCCAACTGCGTCCAGGTTGGGTTGTCTCTAACACATTGATATTACAGTAAATTTAAACTAAATACAGTACTATTAAGTTCAGATATTTTGTGAAAAAGCTGCTGGAATACTTATTTTGAAGAATGATGCTATAACATATTGTAGGACGATGATGATGTTGCTCCCATATTCAAGTACGGTCTTCAGCAAGAAGTGTTTCTGCCAAACACAGCTGAAGGTCAGAATAATGCAAGTAATAAGTGGAAAAGGGGGTTTAGGTAGTCTTTTCTGTTTTCTGTTGTGGTTTCTTGATTCTTTTTCTTTAGCCACCTACACAAATAGTTTTCCCTTACATGCATAAAAATTCTATTCCTTGCTGAAAGTAAATTGAGTTAGAATTCCTAAATTTATCATTTGATAGGCTTCTTGGTTATTTGGTTACTTTTAAGTGCGTTAACTAGACAACTACGAAAACACCAAAGCCAATATATAAGAAAGGACTGGATGCCTAAAGGAGACTTAGGTGTTCACTGCCTGACATTTCATTTATAAAATGTGAGATGCCTGGCCCTAATAGAGTCTACAAGTCCTTTTATGGAGCTGAGATTTTCTAGTATATCTCTATTTGCCCTTAGCTGAACTTCAGTTAAATCAATGTATGTTCTCTGTCTCTAAAATAGCTGTAGCCAGTGGCAGAAGTGGAAGGTGACATAAAGGGATGCAGGGTATGTTGCATATCATAAAATTTAATTTATTTCTTTCTTTTGCAAATGATAGTTGGAGAAAGAAATATGTCATTTAAGAGGGATAAATCTTTAGTAGAAAAACACTAAGTGAACAGGAAAAGTATCTGGCTGATCTTCACTGTATAAAAGATAATTTTCTGTCAATTACAAGGCAGAGAGGAAGAATATGCATGAGTGTAAAGCACAAAGGAACTCTGGTTTTCCATCTTTATAATAATAACAGTGAGAAGGTAACATCAGCTCTTCTCCTCCTTTCCCCACTCTCCTTCCAAAGAAATGACTGGTACTCTGCTTTGTACTTAGAAATGGTCTCAGGAACTGAGCTAGCTCTAGATGTGTCTGTAATCACGTTTATTTTGAAAGGCATACTGGATTCATGGAAAAAACTTAGCTTTCTAAAATTTGGTTTAATCAACCTTTTTGCCAATAAATAGTGAAATTAAGTTTGGGTTTCCATATGCTTTGCAGAAGTTCTTGCATCAGGGAGGCAGAAGACTGAAATTCCAAGGGCTCCGGAAGAACAACGTTTGAGATAGAGACATCTTGCCCGTATTTTATACCCCAGGGAAATACACAGATATACAGCTATAGTTGTGCCTCAAAACAGAAATTTGATACACTATAATCATGCAGACAAAGATGTTTCTGTTTTGATACTGGGTTTTTTTGCCACTGTTTACATATACCCAACTGTCAGGATTTACATGGGAAAAATAAAAGCTGCACTCAGCATCTCACTACATGCAAACTGGAGATCTGCAAGTGTCATTTACAAAAAGTAATTCAATTTACATTGGCAAAGAGGAAACACATAATTTACAGCACACCGAAATTCTGTTTTCTTCATTCAAGACCTGATACAGACAAATCCTGACATTTCAGGTGAATTACGTTCAAAGACCGTTAGAAGAAAGAACTTTGCATGTTTAACTTTTCTTGATCAGATCTTTCTTACGTGTACTTTAATTATGCTATCTAGCAATGTCATATGCACTAGTAAATGTCATAAATAGATAAGTCACATTTCAGGTGGGTTTTTTTTAGTGAATGTGTTTCTGAATGTGTTTAGATAGCTTTTAGTGAAAACCTGCATAATTCTTCTATAATAACTGCCTTCCTCCTGTCCTTCACTGTATCTTCATTGCATAATACTGAATTAGATTCTGCAGTCATCACGCAAAGATCCTACTCCCTCATTTCTTCTGTGAACTCACTCTTTGGGTGGCATAAAATAATGAACAATTGAAGTCATGCATTATTGTACCTACGCTGCCCATACTCCAGTCACTTCGCTCTTTTTGCCGACGTTGCAAACACTAGGCAAGCAAAAATGTGGGGACTATTTTTAGTGGCTTCCAAAGCAGTAACATTTTTATTACATACAAGAATGTGACGTGGTTCTGCACGAGAGACAGACATTTGTCATCCTGAAATAAAAGAAGAGTTCTGTTTTGTATACACCAAAAGATGGATTTTTTTGATATTAAAACCTCTTTTTTTAAAAAATATTTTGATCCTACTGAGTTTTCTCATCGAATCTTTGGAAGTAGATTGTTAAAAACTTGAAGCATAGTTTACGTGAGTTTTTCAGGCTGTGCTGTCTTTTTGGTGCACATGTAGTTTTAGACTCATATGACAAACTATTTGCAGAATACACTTAGAACTGTCAACCTCAAAGTGACTGACCACAGTTTTGTATGCAGATCTGTGTCCTTTGTGAGTCATAACTGCTTTTTGGTATAATGCCAAAGGGATTGCATAACCAGGAATTTCAATGAAAATGGGGAGAAGTCAGATTTTTACAATAACTTGCACAGTGCTCCTGCAAGAAAAAAAAAAGCAAGGTGTTCTACAAGGAGTCCCTTTATGGCTTATTTTTGAATGATGTTTCATTTACTCTTGGGAGGTTTTCTTGTTTAGTTGATTTTTTGTTTCCTGACACAAACTTTGTGCTGAGGTTGCTGCAAAAATAAATGTATTTTTGAATGTCCATTCAAAAATATTAAACAAACTTATTTGTTTCCTTTGAATCAGGAAGTGAAGCAAACTTTATGTTAAAAGTTCATCCTCTAGAGAAATACCCTGTGGATCTTTATTATTTAGTTGATGTCTCAGCCTCTATGCACAACAATATAGAAAAATTAAATTCCGTTGGATTTGCTTTATCTAAAAAAATGGCGAATATTTCTCTTGATTTTCGACTTGGATTTGGATCCTATGTGGATAAAACTGTGTCACCCTATATTAGCATTCATCCAGGTAGAATCCATAACCAATGCAGGTATGTAGTCTTTGTATATTTACTGTACCACTGAAAAATTATTTAATCACACAAATATGCATTATGCATATTTGGTTTTAAACCTTTTCAAAATCTGTCTTTGCTTCTTTATACCTTGGTTCTCCAGCAAAGTTCCTAGGAAAAGGCTGAGAATTACTGTACAATGATTACTTCGGAAATATCTAGTGAGTGATTTTGAAAAAAACTGTTTCTGTAAAAACTGTGCTGTATATTCTGTAGCGAAACAACATGCTGCTTTATATATTTGAATATGTTTTGCATTTAATTTTATAGTCAACTATTGTGTTCTTAGTTATTTTGGATATATGTTGCCTAGATTCATCACAAATTTTTGTACTTTCTGACCTAGGACTTCTCTTCTGGTGTATGGTCATGTATTCATTAACTTTTTTCTTAAAACTACTTTTGTCGATGTGATGAAGTTTCTTTCAGCTCATTTAATGAACAAAAGCGATCCTCTGATCTAATTCCACAGTTGTAATATGAATGAACTCCCATTTTAAATAAGAAAGGTGTTCTGGCTTGCATTTCTTTTTTTCATGCCATGTCTTTTATACCTTGTGTTCAACACTTACATAAAGTGAGGGATCACTTCCAAAACCTACTGGACAACAAGATTATTCACAACAACTTCAAATCTATATAAGCCGTAATACTTGGAAAAGTCGATATTAACTGTTCATACCTTCTTACTAGTTATTGTCTTTCCTGGGAGTACATGATCCAAAGTTCTGTGAAATCCCTAAGTATCTTTTTTTATTTCAGTGGTTATTTAATTGGGCACTAGTAGTGGAATTCATTAGATAGATGTAAGGGTCTCTATATAAAGCAGTCATCTAGGCAGTCTGTATAGTGAGTGGACATTAATTAGCACTTCTAGGACACAATTCATTTTACCTAAATGTAGACATCTACAGAGGTATTAATGCTTACAGTGCCTGTTTCTCTTCATTGACTGTAAACTGAGTTGGGGGCGGGCAAGTTATAGTCTGGATGCCTGCACTGTATGCAGTAGAAGTTAAGTGAGTTGAAGACTGCTCAGCATCTCTGAATCAGATGAACACTTCAGCTTGTGCCGTAAATTCCACTGCTGTAAATAGTTGCAGGGCAATGACCTGTGTAAGTGCTGTGGCATTAGCTTACTTATGTCAAACTTCATACTTTCTCCCTTATAAAAATTTCCAAAAGTATTGAAATTTTTGAACATTTACAACTAAGATGTTATTGAAAGTGGAGTTTCCCATCCCTTTAATGAGGTAACTGTCACTAATAATTTTATATACATTTACTTACTACTAGTGGATGTAGGAACTTAAATTTTATTTTAGTTTTGATCCAGTAGCCTGTGTATCAAGCTATTAAAGGATCTTAATGTTGCGGTGTGATAGCCCTTTCTCAGGATAATGAAAAGCAAAGCTGTACTAGTCCATAAGCGTTCCAAAAGGCATCATATCCGAGATCATACCATCGCTCACGTTGTTTCTTTTTGTTCTGTACAGAAACACTATATATGTGATATTACTATATTAACTAAGTCATATGATACATAGTTCCATGAAATACCCCCAAAATTTTTTTCATAGTAAATTAGAACTAATTCCCACTGAATTTAATCTCATGTGGAGTTATTCTTCTTTCTTTAAGTATTTCTTTACTGTGCATATATACATCTCCATTAGTAACATGATTTTATGGGTTAATAGGGGTGCAATATTTACATCTCCTTCAAACGGAAAATATGGAAGGTGTTAGACTTTTATTTTGTTTTGTTTTTGTACAGTGATTATAATTTAGATTGTATGCCTCCTCACGGTTATATTCACGTGCTATCGCTGACTGACAATATAGCAGAATTCAGAAATGCAGTGAATAAACAAAAAATTTCTGGGAATATCGATACACCTGAAGGCGGTTTTGATGCGATGCTGCAAGCAGCTGTGTGCCAGGTAAGGAGCTTATAAACAAAAGACTAAATGGTAGTATAGTGCTCAATGTTCCTGATTTCAAAATGTCAGTTCTAGGCCTGATAATAGTAAGATTTCTTCCTCCTTTTCCATTATTTCCCCCTTAGCTATACATTTCTGTCTCCCATTGAAACTGAAAAAGGAGAGCATAAAGAAATATTTTTCAGTATTGGTTAATGATGTTCTTCAAATTTAGGCTTCAACCAGCCTAACCAACGTAGGATGGACAATGAAAGCAGCTGCTTCTTGCTTGAACAGATACATGCATTAATTTCAGTCAATTACAAAATTAGTTTCAAAAATCATTAAAGCCCTCCTTGTGTTCCTAAGTGAAGATGTATCATTTGACATTTCTTCTATTTAAGAATTTATTTGAAAGCAGAAGGATCAGCTACATATCTGCTTGTGTAGATAAAGAAAACAAATGCATTTCAATGTTATCTCAGCTTTTAAAGAATTAAAATTTTAAAAAAATACAAATCAACTAAAAATTAACTTTTGTATATTGATCAAATTTCATCACTGTCTCTCCCATGCAAAAAAGGATGGAAAAGATCTGCTTCAGTAGTTCCCAAGCTGTAAGCATATTAAATAACAAGAATTTGTTTGCTCTAAAGGCCTATTTTGCATATTGTTTTTCTTCTATTAGTAGTAGTGCAACAGAAATTTTGAAAGTTGGCTGATTTATGGGTTGCTAATGCTCTGTAAGATACTCTTTCTGGTCCTTTTAAAGTAGTTCAGCTCCTGTCCAAATCACAGGCTTGGTGTGTTTCTCACTTCTTGGGATGACGTCAGGACAATTCTTTTATCTTGTCCATCTAACCATTCTTTTTTTTTCAAGCAGTAGAATGAGTCAAGGACAGAAAGTAATCCAAACTATGCTAAAAATTAATAGTTTAGTCCAATTTTATTTTCAAATTTTGATGACTTGTAAAACAGGTAAATAAAAGCCACTCTTCATAGACACTGTGATCAGAGCCGTTGTAAAAAATTACTCTGGAGCTTTGGAAAAATTCCTTAAAATTCAATGTTTCTCATTGGACACATTCCACACTTGTGACATGTGAACTCTAGAATAATATATGCTTCCAAAAACAATAGAATGGAAACATTCATGAGAATGAGGAGGCTTTCCCGCTAACTGAATTGTGAACCAAAATGGATGAGAACAATGTGCAATTCATAATGACCATCATGAACTATAATTTATATTAATGTGCACTCATTTTGCCTACAATAGAACTTTATAACTTGCTCCATCTTGCTTTAACCAATACATCCCTGCTGCAAGAGGCAGCAGATTAGGACATGAAGCTACTTGAAAATTTTGGTTGCTGTGATGTGTGTAGGTAGGCGACAAAGTGAAATGATGGAATCTTAGGAGCAAGAAGTTTCTACGGTGCTAGAGGAGAATTTGGGATTATTTCAGACATAGCCTGTTTATAAATAAAACTTAAAATACCTGTTTCAGGGAATGCTGTTTAGGATTGTCTGAGGGAGGTTGATGCTGGAGAAGACACCACACCCCACTGTACTTCTTACCCCTACTGTTACAAGATACTTCATCCCCATTCAGAGCTAGCAGGGAATGAGCCTTAGAAGGGAGCTAAATCCCTCCCTGCAAAGCAAAGAAAGGAAGGTAGAGGATAAGTCAAGAAGCCTGGCTGAGTACATGGACTGTATTGCAGATACACGTTTCACATGAAATGAGATACCTGGCAGTGTTACAGGAAATGATAGACATGAGACAGCATCATAGGAAGTAGGAGCAAGGAAGGAGGAAAAAGGAGGAAAAATGGAATTAGTGAAGAAGAAGATAGAATAATTGAGAGAGGGAATAACAAAAAAGAGTAAGAGGTGGTTCATGTGTTCCTCTAAATTTATTTAAAGCAGCTCTTTATTGCTTGCAGGGAAATAAATGTTATCGAAATACAAATTGGCACCTAACCTGGTTTAGATATAAGCTTGCCCTGCTACCTCCTTCACATCACTGAATTCCTAAAATACATTAAATTCACCCTTGCAGATGTCACTTTGCTATTAATCCCTTAAGATGGTGGATAGATGTAGTATTTTGCTGCATAATAAGGAATTTCTCAATTTGCAGGTGCATGAAGACACTCAAACTTTAGTTTATTGATTTGTTGGTCATATGCCACAGTCCTTTCTGGAAAGCTGTGTAGGAAAAGGAAACTATGGTATGATGAGAATATAAAGTAAATATAAAGTAAAAATAGAAGAGGGCACCAAGTACCAATATGAATTAATGTATATTTATTGGTTGTAAAGCCTTTTGAGAATTTTACAAATGCTATGCATTTGCATTTGTATGTAATAGTTTCACACGCAATGTGGCAGCTGTTACCCGAGCCCATTATATAATGCATGACTTGTATATGCTTTGAAAGATCTTTAAAAAACAATGAAAGTATTAAGTGGATCTCTTACTCGCAGTGGTAGTTTTCAGATGTAGGATGTTATGTATTTCCACACAAAATGCTTTAAATAGCCTGGTTTAAACTCAGTGCTGTTAAGCAGTGTAATGTCTGAAAGTAGACTTTCACATTCATTTTTCATTACGTTATTTATTATTTTAGAGAATAGGTAGTTACTGCTTTCTTATGCTTAATTTTCTTTTCCTTTTAGAGCCATATTGGATGGCGTAAAGAAGCAAAGCGACTGCTTCTGGTGATGACAGATCAAACTTCCCATCTGGCCCTTGATAGTAAATTAGCAGGAATCGTAATTCCCCATGATGGAAACTGTCATTTGAAAGATAATGTGTACATCAAAGCTACGAGTATGGTAAGGTATATGTCATAGGTTCTGCCTTCAGAGAACCAGTGTAAAACTGCGTAAAGGAGGTTTTTAGATTGCTGTCAATGCATTGCTTTTATTTCAATTATTAGAATAGTATTTTTCCAGGTAGGCAAGTTGTGAAATAAAGAATCAATCACCTGGAACTATTGACATTCTTTTTGTCTGGGATAACGTATTTTGGAATCTGAAACAACAGTATACAGCAGAGGAGGATCTGTTACTGGTTTTGGTGTGGTTTTTTATTACCATTGCATAAAAATCACACACATTTTGTATAAAATATAAATAGAAAATGTCTAGTGTGATATTTGTCACAAGAAGAAGCTGGTAATATGTAAGAATTGTGCAGCCCTGCTAATAAGACAAAGGTAGTGGTCATGGTTTATGGTCAGAAGATGCATAGTTGCATTGATTGAAAAGGCTTGGTAAGAGTAAAATAGAAGATGCACAATGGTAATGAGTTAATTCAACTATGATGGATTAGAAAATATTCTTGTCCCACAAAGCTTTGCTGTGGTGATGTGGCATTAAATAAATTTGAATCTCACAGTATAAAGGCAATGTGTGGTAATACATACCTGTGCAAAAAAGTTGCATCAAATCCACTGTAGCAAAATAACATGCCTTCAGCAGATATTTTTTTAGCTTTCAAAATAATTTCTTCAAGAATGTGTAAAGTAGTCATGAGTGATTGAAGAAAGGAAATTTTCTTCCACGATTTTGTAGTTTTTAATTGCTTTGGCTATTTCCTTAAATAAATATGAATCATTTATTTAAGAACTATAAATCACTACTTAATTTCCATGTAATCACCAGAGAGCAGAAATATGAACTGTGATATCATTAGAGCACATTACAGTTTTATTCTCAGTGCTAGCTGCACTTAGTTACAGTATACAGCCTATGTTCAGCCCAAGCCAGCAATGTGCTAGTGAAGTTGGTGAGGGCTACATGTAATTTAGGCTAGACCTGAATTTAATCCCAGCAACTGCTGTTTACAAGGATGGAGGGACAGCAGGAAGCAGCCGCCGTATGGTGTGTGATCATGAAATACAGGAGGTTTCTCGGAATCGGTGGGTGTTCGGGACCTTGCTGAGCGGAGGAGGGAGCTGAGCATGTGCTAACAGGAAGGTTGTTTGGATTTCCGATTATCTGAAGTTCTTGCATTTATATACTCCCTCTGTCACCTCTTGGATATTCCCTCACAGATGTCAGGATTATTTATTTCCCTCTAGCCATTCTGTTCAGTTTCAGTAATTCTACAGTGTCCCCAGGATAAAAAACAACCCCTTCCTTTTTTCTCCTTAAAGCAAAAAATTCCAAAACTTTCCTTTTCCAAAGCAGAGCATATTACAAGTTATGGTGTCCCTATGTCTATTTTTCTTTCTTTGTTTTTTCCGTAGTTGCAGTGCTACAAATGAGAGGAATTTTGCTCTGCTTATTTAACAATTGCTGAAGGTACAAATCTTTTTCTGATGTTCAGGATTCATTTGGTAATAAAGTTATTCTGTTTCAGAAAAAAAACAACTATATTTATTTTCTGTCCAACTTGAGAAATTAACTTCTGTTGCAGCTGGAAAACCTCACCAATATAAAATAAAGACAAAATTAATGAATGTCTTTCTAAGCAACTATGATAGATTGATGGCTGACTGAAGAAAGTGTTTTAACTCATATTTTGGATTCTGGATTCTGAAAAATCATGATTTTGCTGTCCCATATGGCATAAGAAATCTACATGATTGCTATTGATGCATTTTATGAAATGAGGTAGTCTTTTAACCACTCAAATGAAATGACCTTGAAAGATGCTTAGATCTGTGGTGGCACATTTTGGTCCGTGTGTTTTGTGGCTGCTAGCCCATATTTTTTTTCAACCAGGGGCTAATTCTTGCATGCCCATATATAACAGTGGGCATGCATTTAGTAATAGAAAGGGGGTAGAATGGAAGTCTTTCTCAGTATTACATATTTTCTGGGGTAAATTTGACATGATAACACAATAGTGTCTGTGAGGGTAGGTGTAGTGGTTTCCTGCTTTTTGTTTTCTTCTCAGTGGTACATGTGATTATTTTAGTCACAGAGATCCATAAAGAAGCTTCAAATGCACAAGTAAAATCGGGGGGGCGGGGGGGAGACTATTTGGTGTTTAAATGGAATGTCGTGAAAGGCTGACAACTTTTTAAAAAATGTGCCATATGAAACATATTTTTGCTTTTTTTTCCTTATCAAAGCAGTTTTGTTATGCTAAGTTAAAGAGCCATCTGTAATCACATTGTTTTCCTACTTTGATTCTTAGCTACTGGTAGTCTTGAGAAGATGGCATTTTGGCATATTTATATTTCTTCCTTGTGCTAGCTAAGAAGACTTTGCTTTATTTATTTGCGTAAGCTTAGCCTTTACATCAGAAGTGTTTCAAGTTAGTCACTTTTCTGCCTGTTTCTTTATAACTTTTGCTAAGCAGTCACACAGAGATCAGCAAAAAAGTGTAAGACAGGAAAGAAATCTAGTCTGTTTTAATTAGATCTGTGCTTGGTTAACTCCCATTCTGAAATACTTAACTGTATTAGTTATCTTCTCAGCTTAACACAGTAGGTTAAAATAATAAAATGAATGATGTAATTGGGACAAGAAAGATGATCTAAAATGAAAGTACATCACCTGAGCAGTAGTGGGAAGAGATAAGATAAAAATACATGAAGTACAGCAAGGTTTTCACAGCAAGCAAAGTGAGACTTCGTGAGTGACCAACCGTTCTTTATGTCATCTGTTTACATACTTAAAATGAAAAAGATACTGTGGGTCTGTTGATGCTTTTTTTTTTAAACTGTCTTCTAATAAAAAGAAAAAAATTCTTTTTAATCTGAAGTGAGGTTTTAACGTACTACTAACCAAGCTAGACGCTCCGGAGAGTTAGAGCTGACGAGCAGATGAAAGTTCAGCTTAATTTGTAAGCAGACTAGGTAGTTTGGGGATCCAGTCCCTGCAACCCTTGCACATCTATGCCTGTCATCTCTTGACTTTAGTAAGCTCCATCTGAGTAAGTTTTTGTCATGAGGGTGTGGAAACTTGTTTCTGATACCACTGATCCCGGAGTTCTGCTGTTAGTTGCAGAAATACTGAGGGGCCACTCTGCTGGAATTCAGACATGTCTAGTGTCACGTGTTAAGCGGCAAGAGTGATCTATTTGACCACCATCTCATGATCCCTTAATGCTGCCCCGTCATTCACACATTTACAGTGCAGGAGGTATTTGTAGAACATAGTGTGTGTTGTAGTGTGTGTGCCTTAGTACTGTGTTGTAGGCTACTGAAAATGGCAACAAAGCCACTGCTGCTACAGTTCACCTACAACTGCTGTGCAGCGGGAATGCATGCTCACGGGACCCTCATGTACGGCACACTCCCCGGCTGGAGCTGTAAGAAGACCCATTTTTTGCTGTGTTACCTACCTTTCATCACTTATCTTAAGGAATGCCCTCTTACCAAAGGGCAGAAAAGTTGAGAGAGGTAGAGACCCTGGCTAAGATCAAACTGCAGCAGGAAACTCCTTTGTTCTTTCTGTACGAGGCTTTTTATCATGGTGCAGTATGATGGAAAATGGAATTTACCCCCTTGCATGACTTTGTCTCAGCAGTCTTGGCATTCAGATCACTGTTAGGAGAGTAGTTGACTTGCAGGGTGCCTTGAGTAACAAGTGGGACTGGAGGAGAAATGAATTGTGCGGGGAAACAGAGTGTGTTTGTGCCAGGGAGAGACAATATGGGGCAGATGGTGGAAAATATCAGGAATAGAAAGACAGCAGAAGTGTATGGAGGAAAGCGGTTGAAGGCCCTGACATAAGTGGCAATGTCCAGATGAAATCCCTGTAAGGGGAAACACAGGCCAAGGCCCCCGCCATTTCTCTATGTTTAGTCATGAATTTTAAGTGTTGAATTTACTTCTTGAGAAGTGTTTACCGATGTATGATAAATAAGTGGTGACTTTCAGATACAGTTGTTTTGGAGTACTGGAGCTGGAGGGATCTCGCATAGCCCAGGTGTACAAAGCCCACTGAGACCACACAGACACCCTTGTGCTTCCCCAGATCTTGGGCGAAGGGATGGCAACGCACCTCTTAGTCTTGAATCCATGCCAGATCTCTCAATGAGAAGTGTCGAAGGGCAGGTCACTGGCACATGACATGCCATCATAGACACTTCACCAAATATAGCAATGTCATTACTGGGGAAAGATGTGAAACTCATGCTACCTTCTTCAAGCACAAGCCTGGTTAAGAGAATGTAGCAGGTCATTGTGGTGAGGACTGGAGGCATCACTCTGAAGGCAGGTCTTGGACGTACAGAGAAGAGCAAGCTGTCAGCTGTAAGTAAGATATGTACAGAATGCTGACATTGCTAGAACCTGAGCCAGTGGCTGCATTTAGCTGATGTGTCTGATCCCTGGTGCCAAAATACATTTCTGAGAAACAAACTTTTAATTACTTGCCTTGTTGTTCTGAAAAGCACATCTCATCTCAGTGCCCTCATGTTGTACATTCTCCCTGACTTTTGCACAGGAACCCACCTGTCATTCTCAGGAGTCTTGTTATTCTTCTAGATGGACCCAGGACAACATCATATCCGTATTTCTTAAGCATCAGGCTCAACAAAATAGTAATGTATGAGTTAGTCCTCCCACTATGTAGCACCTCTGCGTAGCTGGCAACAGATAAGCCTGTCACAGTCTGGCTGATGCCCTGATGATTTTTTTTTTTTGTCATGATCTGTTTATTTGGTTGGTCCCACCTTCTTTTGGATGTAGGCCTAGAATTTCTCTGTACATTTAGAAATAAGGATTAGGGTGGATTTGGAATCCTGTATTCTGTCATATGTGAAATATAAGGCTTTTCCCTACTAATCTGCTGTCTTCTTTTTTTCTGTTGTATTTTGCAGGAGCATCCATCTCTTGGGCAGCTTTCTGAAAAATTGATTGACAATAACATCAATGTTATTTTTGCAGTTCAAGGAAGCCAGTTCCATTGGTATAAAGTAGGTTAGAAACCTGATTTCTTTTTTTCAATTTTGAAAGCACAATATTTATGTTAAAAATTAAAACTGTGCATAAATGATTGTATTTTTCATAGGATCTGTTACCTCTGCTGCCTGGCACTGTTGCAAGACAGATAGAATCACAAGCAGCAAATCTCAATGATTTGGTGGTAGAAGCCTATCAGGTATGAAGAAAGTGACAATGTTGTATGCTATAATTTGTACAGGGATTTTTCACCTTTCATAGCTTAAAGTTGGAATTTCTGGGATCTTGGTTTCCATCTGAAGTCCATGAGGGTAAGCTCCCTACTTTTCTGAATGTCCAGGTTGGTGGATGACACTATCCCACGATAGCTCTCAAATTCCCAGCCTGTCTGGTTCTCAAAGCCAAGAGCTAGCACTTTTTCCTTTCTAAGAATGCTTCTAAATACGCTGTTTGATTCTCTGCACCTGTTGCCATTTAACTTCAAAAGAAATGTCTGCTTTATTTAAATTTTGGCACCTCAGATTTTTAGTTACAGACCAGACACCACTATCTAGGCACCATATAAATTCAGACCAAAAAGATAGTGCAGTATCTAGAAGGCTTTATAGCATAATTCTTAGAAAATGGACAACAGGTGGGAATTTACAAGGAGGCGTTTTGACAACAGTGGTTATTCTGGAAAGCTGGATTTACTGCACAAAACAGTGTAATGACTTGGGGTTTGGAGGCATGGCAATGAAGAAGTTTTGATAGGGATTTGGGAGAGAACAATGCAAATGACTTTGTGAACCCTTGCTTGGAGTTCTCAACTGAAAGTAATAGTATGGGAAAGTAATAGTATGGGAAAGAGCATAAAGTCATTTTCCATGAGTGATTGACAGGGAACAGCAGCTTGAAAGTGGAAATTGGCATCTTGATAGTGAATGAAAGATAGCCTGGTAAGAGGGAGCATAAACAGCTTTGAAAATGAAGCCAGGTAGTATACATTTGATGTACTAGAGCACAGGGAGCCCATAGAGCAGCATGAAAATGAACATGATGGGTTAGATGGTTGAATGCTGTTAAGGTGTACAAGTTACACAAACATGCAAGTTCAAAAAGTTGAAAAATCAATTACAAAGCTATATGCAAGGTATCAACTCAGTTTTTAATTAGTTGGACATGGGAGGCTGAAATTATCCATTGTACTAGGCTAACTATCTAAATCATGAAGAGCCAAGTCCCATGTCTGTTCCTAGTCAATAGGGTGGGTTTCTGCGCATTTTTTCACTGTCATGTTGGAAACATTGTGCAGAAGGCAAAGACATTCAAAAGCAGAGGAGGTTAGGCATAATCAAATTGCAGAGAAGCTCTCACTATTTGTACTTTCTATTATAAAACCGAGAAATCTCATTTTGAATATGGAGGTTTGCAGGAAATCGCTGGCAAAAAATTTTGAAGATCATAGTCCTTTTTTTATGCCACTTTTACACTGTCCATCCTAAATTGTATCCTGGTTTTTAGAGCACAGTGCAGGACAAACATTCAAGGAGAGGAAATAAAAATTTACAATGATTTAGTTCAATGGAACATTCTGTGGGACTTTCCTGCTCCAGCCACCCCCAGTTTGCTCTTGCCTTATTTTCATTTTTTAGACAGTATCTTCCTTCCCTTCCTAAACTTCATTGGATTTGATACTTTGAAATTTTTATCATAGTTTTAGTTTGTATATACAAACAGTGAACAAGGCTTGAATGTTTTGCTTTCTTGAAAGCAAAAGTACTTTGATAAGAAAATAAATTTAGCGTTGATATTCAATGACAGTAGGCCTCTTGCACTCTTGTTCTAGGCAGGGAAACCTTAGGCTTAGTTGTGGAAAACCCTGGCTGAAAATCCCTGGCTAAAAAGCCAAAGATGAGTCACTAATTTTCAAAAAGTTACTAAGATAAACATGTGTTCAGATTCACGTAATTAAATTTCCATTTGTAGCTGTAAAAGTATCCCACTAAACTAATTTTTAAAATAGTAGTATGCAGGAATTTTAATAATCTCTTTGTGCAATTTTCAACTCATAGATTTGTACAGAGCTTTAATAAATTTTTTAAAGTTCTAGAAGCAATATTCCTTCTTGGAAGGAAGTAGGATTTTAGAGCATGCAGTGAATACAAGTTACAAAGTAGCTGGGTTTTTTTCATTATTTTATATTGCAAAAAGCCCTAATGGGAATCAACCAATTTTTGACTTACATAGTCCTAGCTGACCCAAATAAATGAGTAAGAATAATCCCAATAGCCTTTAGATCACCCTCAGGTTTGTTCAGAGAAAACTTTTCCAAGACAGATGCAAAATATCAGAAGTTTATAAAGTGTCAAGTCAATTAGGAACCTTTTCTGCTGGATAACAATAGTCGTATGTGTGTTTACTATTTTATTTTAGATGTGTGGCTAAAAGGCAGTGTAGTTTTTCAAACAGTAAGCAGGTTTTGTTGTGCACAGTTGTTAGAATAGAGTTTCAAATTGCAAAAAATACAGTCTCAAAACCATTTTAGAATAGCTGAAAACGTTTTTATCTGGAAAACTTAATCCTCTTTGTCAGAATTACCAGTTCACTGGTTGTGTATATTTGGAATGTAATCGGGTCTTTATATGGGAAACAATGCTTTAATTCATGCCTTCATTCACACAGACAAGCTTTCTTCATTTTTAGTCAGACATAGTAGCCGTACTTGGTATTAGTCACTAATGCACATTATATGTTGAGATGCAATGCAACTAAAACTTGTTTTCTGGTTACAGAAACTAATCTCTGAAGTGAAAATTCAAGTGGATAACCAGATCCAAGGTCTTCATTTCAATATCACTGCAATCTGTCCTGATGGAAGTAAAAAAACTGGCATGGAAGGGTGTAAAAATGTGGGATATAATGAAGAAGTATGTTGATAGTTCTCGTTCTTCGGGGAACTGGAATACTTATTTTTCTGTTTGGTTGGGTTTCAATGGTGTGAAATCTTCCAGGGATTTACTTAAACTGAAAATGGATTTATGTGATTAATGATCACAGGCTTTCTATTATTCTCTGGTTTTATTTTCCTGAATCTTATTTTAATTCTCACTAATCTCATGGAGCTAAGGCTCAAAGCTTTTCCTGAAAGCTAGCATCCATTAAAACTCTCCTCCTTTGTCCTCCTCTGGGCACAATGGCCATGTTCATTGTGATGAAATCTGTACGTAAAGAGGTTGAAAGATAATCATCTGGTGGAAAAGAATCACTGGAATTTGTGTTCCTTGGGTCTGTACGAGATGCCATCTTTTCCTCTCCTTGCTCTAATAGTCTTAATGCTAGTTTATTTTATAAATAAAATTATTTAGCCCCATCTGGGTCGGTGCCACGTACTGAATGAAATGGGGTGTAAAACTGGAGCATCGTGCACCATGAAAATGGGGGGGAAGATGTATGGCTAATATATGAACATGGGTTTCTTCCCAGACTACTTCTTTGTGACTTGTTATATTTATTTAATTGCTTGGACTAGTAGAGTAATTCATTTAGCTTGCCAGGAAGAGGTCTGTGTTTCTGGAGAGCAGGGTCAAGGAGTTCTTTCCTTCTTGACATGTACATACGTCTCAGCTGGTGTGATTTTTCTTATGTCTGTGTGTAGAAATAGCAAAACAAATCAGTAGATTAAATGTGTTAATTTTAAATGTGTTCATTTAGATGTAGTTTATGCTCTTGTGAATTTTGTCTGCATGACTTGCTGCTGGTTAGCTTCTACAGTTTAAGGGAGATTTGCTATGATTTTTTTCTTAACGTCTCTTGTCCAGTGTTGTTCCCTGTGCATGTCATAAGAAATAGGACTGGAATTTGTTCTGTTTAATGAAAAGAAAAATATTTATATCTGTTTCTTTTTAATAAAAAGCCAAGCCAGTTGATTGTAAAGGATTGCATGTGGTCCTAAACTTCTACTGCTGTTGAAAATGAGCCATCCTCAAGAGATCAATTTATTTTAACCACAAATCCTCCTTTCAGTATTTGTTTACAGGCAAAATGCTTTTCCTTAATTCTCACATTCCTGTCATTGTCTAATCCTTCTTCCTTCCTTTTCTTACCAAAACACAAAGTGTATTATATTCTGGAAGAATCCTACGTCCTCTTCAGGGTGAAAAACTAACTTTGGCTGTTAGTGTCAGTGTTCACGGTGCTGTGATTATTTAGTCACAATATGTTTAATCTTTCTCCTTCTGTGTTCAGACCCATCAAATTTCACGACTCGTATGCAAGACATGATTTGCCTTTCCCTCCCATCTCCCTGTCATTCCTTCAGTACTGTGTTGTACATGAAGATATTGTTTTCTGGCAGGGCTCTGTGTTGAATAAAAATATCTGCAGCTTGTCCGCCCCACATGAAACACACCTGCCGTATGAATTAATTACTGCATAGCCACACTTTTGCCCCATAACTGAAGGGAAGAAGTCTTATGCACGGAGAGTGTAGGCAACTGAGGGGTTATGTGTGTAGTAGCACATTTGAGAAACAAGAAGAAAAGCAAAGGGCGAGACAAAGCCTGTGTGCCCCCTCGATACGACATTAAGCTCATGCTTCTGCACAGCATTCTTCTCCTGTTGTCCGTGTAGGCAGCCGCAGCCCTACTCTCCACAAAGCCACCATTGTCCCCAGGGGCTCGGCTGTTCTCATGTTGGGGCACAGCAGGAGGGGGAGACAGTGATGAGAAATGAATGGCCTTAGTCTTTGTGGGTAGTTTCAACCTCATATGTAATCAGTTTCTCAGGTTTTCTGTTTTTTTTTTATTTGGAAATCTTTGTTCTTTGGTGGTAAAGAGTAAAGGTATTTGCCTCTCTTGGGCTCCTTTCTCGCCTTTTCCTCTTGGTTGTATTTTCTCTGTGAGGAGGTGGGGAAGAGTTTTTTTCTGTCAGCAGGCTAAATAGCGTTAGTGAGAGTACCCTGTCAGAAGCCTACCTAAAAACCAATCATGACGTACAAGATTGCTATCTAGTGAAAGTATCACACGTTGGAGCTGTCAAAGAGTTTTGGTAGTGATTGATGCAAACTCTGTGGCAGTCATCTAACCACAAAACTCAGCCAGTCCTGTGGCCAGATTCTGGAAAGCCACGGGGGCTGCTGCTACAGTGGGGACTACTGGGGTGAGGACCTGGGCCATGGTGGTGATGGCCATGACATGGCCAGGATGTAGGCACTGAGTCCACTCTGAAGCAGCACTTGGTCTGCCCAGGACCACAGCAAGAGAAGCAAGACTCTTTTGCTGCATCCCCATTGTAGAAATTGGGAAAAATACACTGCTGCTACGGCGTGAGCCATTCCTGTGTTTTAGAAAGAGTAAATAGGGCCATCCAAAACTGTGTGGTTTCTATTTGCACAGATCATTTCTGCATCAAGAACATTCATTATAGATTCTTTTTATGAAGAATATCTCTGTTTCTGTTTGTGTATTGTCTTGCTCAATCTAGTCCCAGTTCTCATCTGGGTATTTCTATAATACAACAGAATGTACACATTAAATAGTAACAAGAGGATGATGATGGCAATTCTATTACTATTTAACTTGTATTAAACTTGTCTTTTGCAACTGTGCTTTCTTAACATGAAAAGTAGACTGCTGTCAATCTTCTATTGTTAGGATTTTAAATGTATTTGTGATGTCTATCATTACTAATATATCATATTTGCTAAATGGCCACTCTGTATTTTGTTATTATTAGCTAGTGCACATTCATATATAATGTAAGAGTCTGCTTTATTTATGTGCTAAAAATTCTAAGCAATTTATAGGAAATCATAGTGATGTAAAATCTGCCTTTATTTCTTCTTAGGTACTTTTCAATGTATCAGTTACAATGAAAGGATGTGATACAACTGGAGGAAGAAAATATGCAATACTTAAGCCTATTGGTTTCAATGAAACCGCCATCGTTAATGTGCGGAAAAGCTGTGCCTGTCAGTATGGAGACAGTGCAAGGCACAAAAGAGTATGGGCTGATGAAACTTTTTCTGATGGCAAACAGTCCTATTGCAGTGACAATAATTGTAGCTCTAATAGAGATACCCTTCCTTCTGAGCGGTGCAGACGACACTGGGATCAACCCATCTGCAGTGGTCAAGGAAATTGCATAGATGGAAAATGTTTCTGCTACAAAAACAAGCTAGGCAAGGTCTATGGCAAATACTGTGAAATGGATGATTTTTCCTGCCCGTATCACCAGGGAAACTTATGTTCTGGTAAGCTGCAGAGTTTACGTCTGTATTTTCTTTTTCGGTTTTTGTTTTGTTTTGTTTTCTGAAGCTTATATACATTATGCAGCTCAAAAAAATTATATAAGGCTGTCAAATGTAAGCATTGTGTGTGCAGAAGTAGTGTGTGAAATGTCCTGAGCAGCCTGGTAGGAATTTCTGCTCTTGGAGTTTCTTCACCACAGAGGTACCCACTGTCTTCTAAACTTCAGCACTGCTTTGGATTTATCGAGTTTCTCTAAGTTTAGCGATTTTAAGATTGAAATCTCGAACTTCTTCAGAAGTAATGATACAGATATCTCAGATAAAACAGTAACATTATTCTGGAAAAGTAAATTGATAGGTTTCAGTCTAATGGGAATATGAGATACTAAGAGATTAGGAAGGAATCATAACTTCCAGATGAGATTCTGATTTTCTAACTCCCTAAGTCAGTCTTGTGAGAGATATGATGACACTTGATTTCAAATACTGATATATATGCTAATGCTGTTTGGAACACCTGCTCCAAAAAGAAGCATATAAGTGAACCATAAACAGGGAGAGTTGTTAGAAATTCTTATTCTTTTTGTGGCCTACTTTATGTTTTTTAAAGAAAGCAAGCAAATGAAAATTGCATATGAACAAAATAAAAAATATGTACTTTTAAGTTAGTGTAATTAAGGAAAAATGGGATTGAATCAATATCATTACTGTATCTCTACCAGAATTTTTTTTCCTCTCAGAAGTAATTAAATATTTTAAAATTTGGACTGCTCTCCTGCATCCTTTCATTTCACTGTATACTGACCAATGAGTGAATTGAGGGACCAATTTTTTCAACCACAGTTGGATAAATTGAGAGTGATATTATGGACTTCAGTAAAGTTATTTTGGTTTTGCTCTGCTGGTGACTCTGAGTTTTACATAAAATGAAGAAAAATAATGTTATTTAATCCTTTAAATACTTAATTCCAATGCAAAGTATTACAATTCATCTTCTCATTCTTCTTCCCAGTCCACTTTGCAAATTTACTATTTCTTAACCATAAGCAGACCTTTCAAACTTATAATCTCCTGAAGTCTGAGATGTCGTGACCTGGTCGGCAGAGGAGACAGAGGTATTTTTTTCTAAGAGGTGTTGGAGACTGTCACCTGTGATGGAATCCTGTCCTAGGGTACCACAAGGGGAACCTGCGGTTCAGGGCCATGGCTGAGCAGTGTGGCTTTTCATGGGATGTTTTCCAGTGCAGAGCCTTGCTCTGATACATCCTATCATCCCCTTCCCCCCTACATTTTGCCCAGCCCAAGCAAAAAATGAGGTAGCCTATACCTTGGCCTCACTCCCATTTAGGGGATCCCGTCTGTTAGCTGGGACTGTCTCCCTGCATCAGATCTGTGGATCCATGGAGCACAAGAAGGACCATCGCAGTTTGTGTGAAACTTAGGTATTGCCAAGGCATAGTTGTGGAGACCTCATGAGATTTGCTAGACTTGCCTGTGTTTTATGCGCTGTTTCTATGTTTCCTAAAGGTGCTCTCACATGCTATAAAAATGTGGCTAAACATTATCAGCATGTCAGTTGTACACCTGCCTAAATGTGCTACAACATGGAAAACATATGGATTTTGCCCTAAAGCTTCCACTGCTTTGCCTGGAAAATTGTAAAGGCCACCACAGGTTCTTCATAGCCTTTGAATCCTTGAGTCTGTGCATTTTAAGTTCTTATTAAGCAACCTACAGTTCATAAGTACAGCATACCCACCTGTCCAGCTCAAATCCTCTCCTTTAGAAAGGCACAAAAGCAGTGCTCTCGTGCATGCTTGTGAAAAGAAAAGAAAAATAAAAAAGAGAAGAAAAGAAAATAAGAAGAGAAGAGAAGAAAAAAAAAGAAAAAAGAAAAGAAAAGAA